GTTCCGCCAGATGCTTGGCTGCTGGCCGCCAGCCCCAGCCCCAGCCCAGAGCCACAAGCCAGTGTCTCTGGTCATGGTCCCAGACTGAACCGTGTGCACCACACTATCAGAGACTGGAATTTTCAGTCGAGAGATAACCCAACAGTACAGGAAATGATTGGGACTGACCTTAGGTCACCCAGATATCCCCTGGAAAAGACTCGGGTTCCACGGGCGCCCCAGGAGCCAGCCCGGAGCCAGAGCCGGGGACCCAGGCTCAGGCACAGAGCCCTGCCTGCGTGCCTGATTCGCTGCCTGAGATAGAACTGTGGGCACCAGGGCACCAGCGAATGAGTTTCATTGTCCAGTGCAAACACACAGGGAGGGAAACGGCTGGTCTGATCTCAGAGCAGTCAGCCGACACCCCACCCCGAAAAGGTCTCGGGAAAATTGCCCAGTTTAGGCAGACACCCAGGCTCCCAAAGGCTGGAAAGGCAGACACAGGCAATTTCTGCACACCAGACAGCTGGCAGAGACTGAACCGCCATCACTCAGCTGTGCTCCAGACACAGGCAGTTTCTGTGGCCAGCCAGCTGGCGGAGACTGAGCAGTGTGCACCAGGGCAAAAAAAAAAAAAAGAGAGAGAGAGAGAGAGAGAGAGAGAGAGAGAGAGAGACTGGGAGTCCCTGTCTCCAGAGAATCCACAGTGAAGGAAGGAAACTGTACTGACTTAAATCACCCAATCCTTCCCTGGAAAAAGACTAGCAGACTGGCGGGGCTGAGCTGCCATCACTCAGCTGTGCTCCAGACACAGGCACAAACAGTTGCTGCGCGCCAGATGTCCAACTGGGTCACAGCAGCTGATCATTAAATTTACAGCAAGAAACCCAGAAACAGGGCAGCTGTCCTCAGGACTTCCCTGGGTGAGAGGAGAACCCTCTCGACTAACAAAGACCACAGTTACCACTCAGGTCTCTATCCCTGAGATGAGCAGCAGCAACTCCTGAAAAAACGCCAGCCATCCAGGGACTATACCCAAAAAGCTGAAAAGACATCCTTCAGGAAAAACCAGCTTTCTGCAAAGGGGATTCTTTCCACCACAGGATCCCCAGGAACCACCAGAAAATAACCCCAAACACCCAAGATAGCCCAATGGGTAGAGGCCAGCATAAAAGCTCAAGCAACAAAAGACAGAGCAATATGGCATCTCCAGAACCCAGTTACCCAGGGGCAAGTAGCCCTGGACACTCCAGCATAACTGAAATCCAAGAAGATGACCTAACAACTATGCTCATGAAGATGATAACAGAGTAAACAAATAAGATACATAAAGACATAGAGGAAGATAAACTCAAACAGAATATTGCCATCCGTAAAGAAATAGAGGAAGCTGCAGCCAAACAGTTTATGGTCTTTAGAAATAAAATGCTTAAAGCACTGAATGAAATAAAAGAAACAGAGTTGAAGGAACTAAAAGAAAAATAGGAAACATAACTACAGACACTGAGGAAATCCAAACAATCATTAGGACTTACTTCAAAAGTCTATATGCCACAAAATTTGAAAATCTAAATGAAATGGACAATTTTCTTGATCGATTTGACTTACCAAAGCTGAACCAGGACCAGGTAAATCAACTAAATAGTCCTATATCCCCCAAAGAAATAGAAGCGGTCATCAAAAGTCTCCCATCCAAAAAAAGCCAAGGACCAGATGGCTTCAGCGCAGAATTCTACCAGACCTTCAAAGAAGAGCTAACTCCAATTCTCTTCAAACTATTCCACAAAATAGAAGCAGAAGGAACATTACCAAACTCATTCTATGAAGCCACAGTCACCTTGGTACCTAAACCTCACAAAGACTCAACAAAGAAAGAGAATTTCAGGCCAATCTCCCTTATGAACATTGATGCAAAAATACTTAACAAAATACTTGCAAACCGAATCCAAGAACACACCAAAGATATTATCCACTATGACCAAGTAGGCTTCATCCCAGGTATGCAGGGGTGGTTCAATATACAGAAATCCATCAATGTGATCCACCATATTAACAAACTGAAAGAAAAAAAAACCCACATGATAATCTCCCTAGATGCTGAAAAAGCATTTGACAAAATCCAACATCCATTCATGTTTAAAGTATTGGAGAGATCAGGGATACAAGGCACATATCTAAACATAGTAAAGGCGATATACAGCAAGCCTATAGCCAACATCAAACTAAACGGAGAAAAACTTAAAGCAATCCCACTGAAATCAGGGACAAGACAAGGCTGCCCACTCTCCCCATATCTCTTCAACATAGTGCTGGAAGTCCTTGTTAGAGCAATAAGACAGTTGAAAGAGATCAAGGGGATACAGATGGGAAAGGAAGAAGTCAAATTATCACTATTTGCAGATGATATGATAGTATACGTGAGTGACCCCAAAAACTCTACCAGGGAACTCCTACAGCTGATAAACACCTTCAGCAAAGTGGCCAGATACAAAATTAACTCAAAAAAATCAGTAGCACTCCTGTATACAAAAGACAAAAGGTCTGAGAAAAAAATTAGGGAAACAACATTCTTCACAATAACCACAAATGACATAAGGTACCTCGGTGTAACCCTAACCAAGCAAGTCAAAGACTTGTATGAAAAAAATTTCAAGTCTCTAAAGAAAGAATTAGAAGAAGGTATGAGAAGGTGGAAAGATCTCCCATGCTCATGGCTTGGCAGGATTAACATAGTAAAAATGGTCATTTTACCAAAAGCAATCTACAGATTCAATGCAATTCCCATCTAATTACCAACACAATTCTTTACAGACCTGGAAGGAAAAATTCTCAGCTTCATATGGAATAACAAGAAACCCAGAATTGCTAAAACAATCCTCTACAATAAAAGATCTTCTGGAGGTATCTCCATCCCTGATCTTAAGTTGTACTATAGAACAACAGTTTTAAAAACTGCACAGTACTGGCGTAGAAACAAAATGGTGGATCAATGGAATCGAACAGAGGACCCAGAAATAAACCCACACACTTATGGATACCTGATCTTTGACAAAGATGCCAAAACCATACAATGGAAAAAAGATAGCATCTTCAACAAATGGTGCTGGTCCAACTGGATGTCTACATGTAGAAAAATGCAAATAGATCCATACTTATTACCCTGCACAAAACTGAAGTCCAAGTGGATCAAAGACACATTAAATCAGCTAGAAAAAAAAGTGGGAAATACCCTAGAACTCATTGGTACAGGAGAAAACTTCCTGAATACCAACAACACAGGCTCTAAGAAAAAAAGCAATAAATGGGACCTCATGAAACTGAAAAGCTTCTGTAAAGCAAAGGACACTGTCATCAAAACAAAACGACTGCCTACAGATTGGGAAAGAATCTTCACCAACCCTTTATCTGACAGAGGACTCATATCCAGTATATATAAAGAACAAAAGAAGCTGAAAAGCAGCAAACCAAGTAATCCACTTAAAAAATGGGGAACAGAGCTAAACAGAGAACTCTCTGTAGAGGAATATTGAATGGCAGAGAAACACTTAAAGAGATGCTCAACCTCATTAGCCATTAGGGAAATGCAAATCAAAACGACCCTGAGATTTCACCTCACACCCATCAGAATGGCCAAGTTGAAAAACTCAAGTGACAACACATGCTGGAGAGGTTGTGGAGAAAGGGGAACCCTTCTCCACTGCTGGTGGGAATGTAAATTCGTACAACCACTCTGAAAAGCAATCTGGCATTTTCTCAGACAACTAGGAGTAGCACTTCCTCAAGATCCAGCCATACCACTCCTAGGCATATATCCAAAAAAGAGGCTCAAGTACACAATAAAGACCTTTGCTCAACCATTTTTATAGCAGCTTTATTTGTAATAGCCAGAAGCTGGAAACAGCCCAGATGCCTCTCAACTGAAGAATGGATGCAGAAATTGTGGTACATCTACACAACGGAATATTACTCAGCAATGAAAAACAAGAAAATAATGAAATTTGCAGGTAAATGGTGGGATCTAGAAAGGATCATCCTGAGTGAGCTATCTCAGAAGCAGAAATACACACACGGTACATACTCACTCATATAAACATATAATATAGAATAAACCTACTAAAATCTGTACACCTAAAGAAACTAGTCAAGAGGGAGGACTCTGGCTAAAACGCTCAATACCCATCCCGAAATGCAAAGAGGATGGACATCAGAAGAAGAAAAAACAGGAAACAACCTAGAAACCTATCACAGAGGGCCTCTGAAAGCCTCTGACCTGCAGACTATCAAAGCAGATGCTGAGTCTGATGGCCAACTGATGGGCAGAGTGAATGGAATTTTATGTAAGAAGTGGGAAATAGTAAGAGCTGGAGAGGACAGGAACTCCACAAGGAGAGCAACAGAACAAGAAAATTTGAACACAGGGAACTTCCCAGAGACTCATACTCCAACCAAGGACTATTCATGGAGATAACCTAGAACCCCTGCACAGATGTAGCCCATGGCAGTTCAGTGTCCAAGTGGGTTACATAGTAATGGGAAGAGGGACTGCCTCAGACATAATCTGATTGGCCTGCTCTTTGATCACCTCCCCCTGGGGGGGGGAGCAGCCCTACCAGGCCACAGAAGAGGACAATGCAGCCACTTTTGACGAGAGCTGATAGACTAAGATCAGAAAGGAGAGAACCTCTCCTATCAGTGGACTTGGCGAAGGGCATGCATGCAGAAACGGGAGGGAGGGTGAGATCGGGAGGGGTGGAGGGAGGGGCATATGGGGGGGATACAAAATGAATAAAGTGTAATTAATAAAAAAAAGAAGTAATGTAATCCAGGAAGCTAGAAGTAAGTTTCTTAAGTAACATTTTTTAATTTTTAATTTTTATATTAATTACAGTTTATTCGCTTTGTATCCCTTAAGTAACAATTTATCACATTTTGCTAAATCATAATAAAGTATTAATGAACCCACTAAGCACACAATGATTACTGCTGTGTAATGAAAATCGATTCAGTTACTTAAAACCCACCTGTCTACTTCCTGTGGCCCACTCTATCATGTCTTCAGATAAATGCAGCTGTTGACCATGTGGGAAATATGGGCTAAACTTTCCTATCTTCACCTTAAGTCCAAGGCCATGTGGGAAATTTCTAATGTGGAAGATGTCACACTCATCCTGTAGTTTTTCTTTCTGGTTCATATTCACTTTATCTCCAATAGGATTAGTGAATTGGGTCTTTCTCAGAATGGAGTGCATCTAAAAGAGAGACAAGGATCTGTAGTCTATATGTCCTTTATTGGTGTGAAAAAACTCAAGAAGTTAAACAGCAACAAATCAATAATCCAATTAAAAATGGGGTACAGAGCTAAACAGAGAATTCTCAATAGAGGAATACCAAATGACAGAGAAACACTTAAAGAATTGCTCATCATCCTTAGTCATCAGGGAAATGCAAATCAAAATGACCCTGAGATTTCACCTTATAACCCATCAGAATGGTTAAGATCAAAAATTCAAGTGGCAACCCATGCTGGAGAGGATGTGGAGAAAGGGGAACCCTCCTCCACTGCTGCTGGGAATGTAAATTTGTACAACCACTCTGGAAATCAATCTCGCTCTTTCTCAGACAATTAGGAATAGTGCTTCCTCAAGATCCAGCTATACTACTCCTAGGTATATATCCAAAAAGATGCTCAAGAATACAACAAGGATATTTGCTCAACCATGTTTGTAGCAGCTTTATTTGTAATAGTCAGAAGCTGGAAACAATCGAGATGCCCCTCAGTTGAGAATTGGATACAGAAATTGTGGTACATATATACAATGGAATATTACTAAGCAATAAAAAACAAGGAAATCATGAAATTTGTAGGCAAATGGTGGGAACTGGAAAATATCATCTCAGCAGCAGAAAGACACACAGGGTACATTATATACTCACTCATAAGTGGATATTAGATATATAATATAGGATAAACATACTAAAATCTGTACACCTAAAGAAACTAACCAAGAAGGAGGGCTCTGGCTAAGATGTTCAATCATTATTCAGAAAGGCAAAGAGGATGGACATTAGAAGAGTGAGAAAACAGGGAACAGGATGGGAGCCTATCACAGAGGGCCTCTGAAAGGCTCTATCCTGAAGGGTATCAAAGCAGATGCTAAGACTTATAGCCAAATTTTGGACAGAGTGCAGGGAATCTTATGAAAGAAGGGGGAGATAGTAAGACCTGGAGAGGACAGGAGCTCCATAAGAAGACCAACACAACAAAAAAAAAATCTGAGCCAAGGGGTCTTTTCTGAGACTGATACTCCAACCGAGGACCATTCATAGAGATAACCTAGAACCCCTGTACAGATGTAGCCCATGGCAGTTCAGTGTCCAAGTAGGTTCCATAGTAATGGGACTGTCTCTGACATGAACTGATTGACCTGCTTTTTGATCACCTCCCCCTGAGGGGGGAGCATCCTTACCAGGCCACAGAGGAAGACAATGCAGCAACTCCTGATGAGACCTGATAGACTAGGATCAGAAGGAAGGGGAGGAAGACCTCCCCTATCAATGGACTTGGGGAGGGGCATGGGTGAATAAGGGGAAGGGAAGGTGGAATTGGGATGAGAGGAGGGAAGGAGCTACAGGGGGGGATACAAAGTGAATAAAGTGTAATTTATAAAAATAAAAAAGAGAAAATGTATTCTCATTCATCAGAAAGACAACTTTGTTGAAGGTATCCAGGGGAAAATCTCAATGAAAGCAAAATGTTAAATTATTTCATCATAATGGTTGCAGAATTTTAGTTCGCTGAAAGTAATAAAACAAACAAAATCATAGGTGTAAATGTAGACACCAAATATAGATGTGGAACACACATGTTTCTGGACAGAGAGATACATCCATATGGATATACACAAGTAATATTGTCTCACATTTATTTGCACACATATCAACATTCATGCCTAGACACACTTATGAATATACAGTCACAAACACACAGACATATGCACCCTAAAAGACACACAAGAAACAGTGAAAACACATACATAAGCACAGACACACAAATGCGCAGACAAATGCACACAGGGTGACATAATGAGATAGAAACACCCACACAGAGAGATGCTGACACAAAGACAGATTTATGTTCACAACATCCAGTGACAGTTCAACACACACACACACACACACACACACACACACACACGCACACACACACACGCACACAGAGCAACACAGGTATATATATAAACAAGGCTATACACAGAAACACAAAAACACACATTCAGGAACACAAAGACATATGCACTGACAAATACATTCAGAAAAATACACAAAGACAGAAACAAACAGAGACACATTGATACACAAATCAATTTATGCTCATTTTCACAGAGAGTTAGCAGGACAGAAACACACATACACACAAACACAAACATCAACACAGATATACAGAAACACTCATAGAAACACAATTACACTGTAAAACATAACATTCAAACACATGAACATATGTCTATTACTGAACTCAGTAACAGCACTATTTTCTGTATAATTACTCTCAGCCTTTGAGGAAGGTCCCCAGAGATCTATAGTTGGGACAGAATCAGTTGTGAAAACTTGAGAAAACCTTCCCTTGAAATTATTAATTCAAAATTTGCAATTAATAAACAAATGTTAATCTTCTTATCATGGAAAAGATTAATGAGGAAGGACAGATTGCTTCTCCAATAGTAGAACAGGTATGATTATATTTAGGTGCTCTGTGACAGAATCATTGATTTTTCACAGAAACATAGTGTCTTCGATTCCACTGCCTTTCTATTAGAGATTTATCCAAATCTCTAGATTTAGTTTGTCAGCATTAAACATGTTTAGAAACCTAGTTTTTTGAGGAAACATTTTCTAGTCAAATTAGTTTGGACATCTGAGAGATTCTTAAAAACTATGACATTGATGAGATCAAGCATCATCCAATGGAAGAAACATTACTTTCAAGTAGATAAAAGCATGTACTTTCCAATTGTCAACTGGCTGATTTTCTACCTGCTGAAGAAGTATCTCATGAAAGACATGGGTCACGGCATACACAGCATTGTATATGTCATAACTGCTGTCACTAAAGG